ATTAGTTGAGGACTGTCAGGTTTAGACCATTATTAAAAATGTACTTGTTATTAGTATCAACTAATGTCAATTGGAAAGGAATGTGTGTCTTAGTATTAACTTAAACCCCACAAAACCAAAACAAATAAGTAATTAATTGCTCACTGAAATAGCATTGACTTCTCTTATTCTTCTCTCTATTGAGGCTGAAATTCAGCCAGGGAGGCAGGAGCAGTGTTACCACAGGCATGAAATTGTGGTGGTTTTGGGTAGGAGGTGTGAGGTTTGGATAGGAGGACTGGATGTGGCATGGTCTAGCTGATGTGGTGGTGTTAGGTCATAGGCTGGACTTGATCTTAGAGGACTTTTCCAGCCTCAATGATTCTGTGTGGAGATCTGCAGCCACTCTACAGGCTGACTGTTCCTGGCTTCACAGACACCTCCAGTGAAAAGAGACTCTGGCTTCTAGACTTTTTTTAACTGTGTAGTCCATTTTAAGAATCTGAATGGTGATTTAGCAAACCCTGGGAGATCAAGGTGTGGCACAGTGAACGTAGCAGTGAGGAAGTAGTGTGCAGACTCATGTTGGAAAAATTTATTCTGCCAAAGCCGATGAACTCTGTTTTTCCAGCATGGTCATCAGCTCTGAACCTTTCTCACCATAGTTGAAAATTCTAGTCTATATCTAAAGACAGTAGAATTCCCATTTTTCCTTCCTCTGGTGAATTCCAGCTCTCCTGCCACTGCAGAACCCTGTAAAGTACAGAAGCACCTCAATTAAATATGAAATATCAAGACAAATGTCTGAATAAAATATCCAGGACTCAGAGAAACTTCCAAAACCTGCTTGTCAGCAGTGAAATGCCATTAAATCCTCTAGGAACTCATTAATAGATTAACATTTGGAAGAGTAATTACAGCTAGATTAGAACTAAGAATAAAGAAAAAGAAAGGAAAATCCAGCAGCATCATTTCTCTAAACTCTTGACACAAAATGAAGATCAATACTACAAAAAAAGAAGAGCTAAGGAATTAAGGTCAAGATGATTATGTCAAAAATAGGTAAGCTGTTCATATATATTTCAAATGAAACTACAGTGGATTCAACTGTTGTGTTTCATATTATTTGTGTGGGATACTGTCTTACTGGGGATAGAAAAGGAATATTGAAGTGAAATCAAGGAGGTATCTGGAAATTGGATGAGTTGACTTCAGTGCCATTAACCTAAATCACAACTAAAATTAACATTGTCAGGCATTGTAGCTACATTTTCTGAGCAAAAGCAAGACCCTGATTTTTAGTGAGACAGAAATATATTGCCCTTCAAAAGGATTACATACTGCAGAAGTCTTTTTTTGGGAATTTATGTTACAGCTCTGTAAAGGAAAGAGAAAAGATAACATAAAATAGATACTACAGTTAGATAAATAGGTGAGATCTTGAGAAATGTTTCCATTTTTTGGTAAAATTCTCACCATTTGTAAATTTTATTTGTATAATTCATTGCATGATAACCTGGAATATGAATCTTGCAAATGTATAGAATAGGAGGGAATACAAATGGAGAAAATACGAGTTTATTTAGAAATGTTTCTCTCTTACTGGGAGTGTACCCACTGCAGAAGCAGGCAGCACAGCAGTGTGCTGCGGGGAGCTGAGCTGTTCTCCAGAGAAAAAAGAGACAACACATGAAAAGCAACAAGGTTGTAAAATACATAGATGACAAATCAAATGAAGTCATCAATGTGTAAAAAAAATGTTAAGGTTTTGGAGTTGCCATTTTCCTATCTAGATGTCCTCATTGATTTGTTACAAATACTGTTAACCCTGTGTTTGGAAAACAGTGAGGACATTATCACTTGTGTTCTCATTTGTAATAAAATAGATTAACTTGCTGTGAAGTTTTAACTAGGCTGAGACACAACAGTAGCTACCTAATGAACCAGAGCATATTGCTGTTAAGTAGCTAAATAGATGCATACTGATTACAGGACTGAAAAATGGATCTGTTTACTTGCAAAAAAAGTCTGTTCTTAGTGTTACTCATTATACCAGGGGAAATTCAACATTACATTTCCACACAGACATTTAGAATTAGAGGATTTCTCAATCCATATGCAGTCTTACATGATGATACTCCGTCCTTATTTGTAATACATGATACAGAGAAAATTTCAGCTGCTTTGTTGCTTACAGGGAAAAGTGGATCTTCCCTGTAAATGTAAATGTTTGTAACTGGTAAGATGTTAGATGACATAATCAACAAATTATTTTAGAAAGTGATTCACTGTGTGTTTCAGAATGACAATGCTGTTTGACACTTTTATTTCTGCCTGAACATTTCCAACTCAGACCCTAAGGTTGTAGCAGAGATTTTTATAGCAAGAGACAATGGGAAATGCAGGAACTTGAAAACTTTGCCTTTCCAAATCATCAGCTTTTGAATTACTCAGATAACTCCCATTTAAGATGACACACATGGCTGTTTGTGTGATATCTAAATGTTAATTCATAGTCATATTTGTTCATAGGTTTGTGGCAGAACAGTTGGCATGTCCTTTCCTTGGTATTCCTTTTCATGGTTGCAATAGACAATGAAATTAACTTAAACTAGGTACTCTTCTGTAAAAGTAATTGTTTCAAAATGATATCTTAATTGTAAAGTGAGTACTCTTCGTGGTAAAAAGAGAGGAAACAGTGCCAAAGAGGATTTTAAAAACTGAAACACAGGAAAATAAAATTACCAGCAAGAGTTTTAGCCTGCTAGCAGTAACCTACTTGGAAGCTGTGATTTGTACAAAAGTAAAAACCCCAATATTTATAATTGCATGTAGATCATTCATCACTTATTTAGGAGAGTGCTACTTGGTGCAAGAATGTGACTTTTTAAGTAACTTAATAAGCAGCTTATCCACAGAGTAAGTCATGAGTCTGTTACTCTTCTGCTCACCTCAGCTTCCTCTAAGACCACTCTTTTGGAGACTGAGAAGAAAATACAGGAGACTTAAGGCCAAGGGCTTTGACATCTTTTCCCCAGAACTTGAAAATTTGTAAATTTGAAGACATTCAGTTACCAACATTTTAAGAACTTGTGACTCAATGAGATTAATTTCTATCAAAACTTCATAACATTTTAAATTGGCATTCAAAAATACTGCAATTAAAAGTCTTCCTTTTAAGTTTTATTAGTAATTGTATGTTCATTAAGTAACAGATAATTAGTGAAAGCAGATCCATTGAGGATTAACAGCTATGTAATAGATACACATCTGTTACATGATGGAGGCTCAGTTGTTATTTAATGTACAATAACTATCATCTTAAAACCACATTCAGTGCTATATTTTGAGCTGATGTGGTTAGAATAGGCAAATGCTACCCCTTGCCATTAGGAGGATCCACTCTCAAGTTCCATGTGCATCATTCTCAAATGTATCTGTAAATATGAAGATGAGTTTCGTTTCCAGAGACAGTTTTAATGGATAACAGAATAGTCTTAAAAATGTCGACCTTCCTGCCAGAGTCATTAGTCAATTGCCCTAGTAAATTATGAACAGAATATTATGCTAACTATTTATAAGGGAAAAATTATTAGAATCTACCATCTTCTTCCTAAAGCTATAGTATTGATTTAGGATAACAAAAACTGCATGAAAAGTTCAGCTGCTGCTGAGTTTATTTTCAAAAGCACATGGTAAATTGCCACCAAGTAGCCAGATTGCACACTCCTAATGAAACATCTCAGAGAATAGGTTAGAAAGGCAGAAACATTGCCAAGTTCCTTTGAGACAGCTTCCTCAGATTACAGTGTGTAATTGTGATTTTTAATGAGGCGGGGGCAATAGGATCTCCCTTTTGAAAAAAAAGAAGGTAATATTTCAGTTCTGAGTTTCCACAGGGAGCAGCTGATTGCCAGAGATGAGGGCATCAGCAAAGATGCAATTCTGGATTTCTGTAAATTCAGACATCTTGTGATTAGTGTCTCTCCATTGGAACTACACTGTCAAGGACCTGTACAGAGGATTAAAACACAAAAGGGATTTTAAAATAAAAGAATATCTAGAGTACCCCAGGTCATGATCTGTCCCTTTTAGAGGATTCTCTTTTCTTATTAGTCCTGTGAACAGAAATAAAGGGTACTGGAATTTTCACTTAATTCAGAAAAAAATACACATTTGGAATCACTGGGTTGGAAGGGATCTCAAGTGGCCATGTAATCTCTTGCCTTCCTCGAGACAGGATGAATTATTGCTTATGCCACACTTGTCTAACATGTTCCTAAAGATTTTTGCTGATGAAAACTGCATAGCATCTTCAGGGAATCTGCAAGTATAGATACACAGAACTGCAGATTTCATTTTGCTATTTTTTTTGTCATTTCTGCTCCTTTTTTTCTCCTTACCTAAAGTACTATGGGTGTTTATATTAGACCTTAATATCAGAGTTTTGTGTGCAAATGTACATGTAGGGATTTGCTAGTACATTGTTATTCTTGTTAGCCAGGGGTGTTCTTCATGCAAATGTGAAGTTTTTACTAGTGCCACAAATTTCAAATTCTGCCTAAGCAGAATACATTGTAATTTATTCAGGTACAGATTCTAGTGAGTTTACAAATTTGACTCATGTAGTGACCGTTTAGACCAAATCTGAATTATTTGAATTGTGACTCACCTATGTCAATTTTACTATCTGTAGATCAGGAGCAGTCAGTGAAAAGAACATGAAAAAAAAACCCTCTTCATGTTCCATTTTGTGAAAAAGTTAGAAAATAAAATGTTACCAAAGAAAAAAAAAAGAGGTGGCACATGCTGTGTCATGACCAAAGGGATGCCCAGATACATTGCATGCAGAAGACTGCTCTTCTCAGCTGGAGGAGGCTATACTGCTCTTTTGATGTGAATTTCCTTTATCTCAGCAAAACCACTTGTTATTGCTCTTCTAACCAACTTTGTTTTTTCCTTAAACCTCAGTGAAGTTCGTGAATCAAATTGCACAGACCTTGTTTTCTTTCTGTTTGAAGGAAAGGATTCAAGACAGCCCTTCTCCAGCTCCATCCCTAGAAGACAGCCAGCGGCCTGGGAGCCACGCTTCCTCCCACCAGAGCAGCAGCGTGTCCAGCTCGCCCTCCCAGTTGGACAACACACCAGACAGAATTGGTTAGTGCTCTGCAGTCTCCCCTTTGCAGTTATTGACCTCAAGAACTTTTAAAATTTTTTGCTGCCAAGCTCAGGAGAGCACCCACTTGCTAAAAACCCCCAGACAGTTCATCACTATCGTTTGTTTAATTGGTTTCCTCTCTACCCAGAGCCCAGCCCCCCAGATTCATTCTGTGCCAGTACCCACCCATGCACATACCACCCCTTCCCTGGTGCCAGCATCTCTTGTTGCTGGAGTAAGAAGGTGCTTCTGAAGGCACCTGGAATTGAAAAACAGCAAGATAGCTTTTTCCTCATATGTATGTCAGAAAAGTCACAGATTGCATGATGGCTTTTCCATCCCCAAAAACTCCTCATGCCCACACATCCCCTCATCAGCATGAGGCTGAGGGCTTTTCCATTTTTTTTGGTCTCTCCACCACAGCTTCCACAGCCTCTGTGTTATCGATCTTGTGTTTAAAATGCTAATTCAGTCTAGAGGAAGCTTGGATCTTATTCTTGCTGCTTCCAAGAGGGATCTAGGGCAAGTCCATTAACATCTCTTCACATCACTGTATGTCAACACTGTTGTCTTCACAGTGACTGTAGCCTGTGCATGCATTGCTGAGCAAGATTTAAACTAGAAAAACAGTGCAGTCCATGTAAGCCAATGTAGACTTCATTCCCATCAAATAACTACTCGGCTGCTTTGCTGGGATGGTTCAGTTTTGCCTCTGGTCCCTTAGCAGAACCATGGCACTACCTAGCACAGATGGCTCTACACAAACTAGTGAGCAGAACCTGCACTACTTTGTCTGAATGTGCACATGCCAGGCAGGGACTAGAAAGTAGGTTCCCTTCAACTTTTTCATATGTATAGGAATATACAGGACAAGAAGTGTAACATCTGTAGCCACAGTGAACAAGGGACTTTGGTCCTCACTGTAGCATTTAAAAGCTGCTCTCACTTGTTTCATTAATAGTAGCAACACACACTTGCAAGCTCTGGGCTCCAGACATGGTGCTGGAAGTTTTTTAAAGAAAATGTTATATATACACTTTGTATTTATATAAATATTTTTTAACAAGTGTTATTCACTGAAATAAAATTAAATTTTGTACTAGGTTGATTGCAGAGAAGGAAATGTTTTAATAAAATAAGAACAAAGAAGGCATCCTGAAATCTTAAATGCCTTTTACTGATCTTGCAGGTGTTAAAGAATTTATTTCAACACTCTATTGGTTTTTCACTGTCACCTATCAATTTGGGTTACTATCTATCTGTAGTTTTTATTAAGCTTTAGAGATAATTACTAATGCTTAAATCCTTAAATGTGTTTTCCTCCAAAAATATTTCTGTGAAGTGCTTTTCTAATTAGTTAATTTGAGCATTTTATAAGAAATCACATTAATCTCAGTAGCAATTTGGGTTTAATCTTGGTATCTTTCTTTAATCAACTTGAGCAAATTTGCTTTTTGCTGCGTATTTTACTTGACTTTCAGGTGCTGATCTGGGACAGTGAAATGGTTGATTATGGACAATAAAAGTGGTCAATTGCTTTAGAACTTATGTAAGGCTTATGTTGTTTATACAAATGTTAAAATACCAAAATATTGACAAAAAGGAAATATTTAATATTTTCCTCCTTTCTGACATTGTTATATAGCCTTGTACTCTGTCTTTTTCAGCTATGCTGACCAACAGCAGGGAAGGAGAACTCATTGAACAAGAAACTGGGACCAGCCTAAAAAAAATACAAAAGGAGAAAGGTAAAATTGCAGACTGTTTTCCATCTCAGGCCTTTACTTAAACTTATAATGCATTTTATTCCTTTTTCTCATAACTCTGCATATGCAATGGTATAATGTTAGAAATGTAAGAAAGCTAAGTACCTAATTGTAATGAATAATGTATCCAGTGAACTTACATGGCATTCTCCTTAAGAAGTGTAAACAATCAGAAATTTGCTTCTCTCTGTTTATATAGCATGTAGCTAATATTTTGGCAGCCTGTTGACTCAATTACTTAGGAAGTACCTAGCAAATACTTGATTAGTCTCATGGCATTGTTTCTTTGCCTCCAGTGAATGTGTGTGCAGGTTCACCTACATAGCAGCATCAGAGTAGGGAAATAAGCCATTTTTTGAGTCTAATAAAACTACATTAGCTCACAAGTGAGAGGCAGCAAAGGAAGAAGTGACATTTGGCCCAGAGTGATTGTCCTGTAGGCAGGGACTTCCCTCCTCTGCTCAGTTCTCCCTGCAGTGATTGTTGGCTGATGGGGAAGGTGAATGGGTTGGGGTACACAGGTAAGCCCTGGGGGGTGTTATAGTGACAGACAGCATGTGGTTGCACACAGAGAAAGAGGAAACCATTTTGTTTCCTGGCAAATACAACAAAAAAAGAATTTGTATTAATAGGCGAGAGATTTTTTTCTGGCCGTACGTACAGAAAGCACCATACACAGAGTCCCTGCAAAAAAAGTGAAGGGATATAGTTAAAGAAGTTAAAGAAAGCTGAAGGTAAGTGTATAATGGAAAAATACTGCAAAGGTAAATACTGAGGGACATACTGGAGTTTCAGAGTGAAAAATATGTGAAGTAAAAGAAAGAGAAGGAAGCAAACACAAGAGGAGACAAGGTAAGCTAAATATGCTTTTAAGTCTATTGTAAATATGACAAAAAAAATCAAAAAAGAGAACACAGACTGATTTGTATTGTGATTGAAGTGATTCTAATGAATATTCTCAGAAAATGAGAAAGACAGGTACTGACAATTTTATGAGTGTTTCAAAAGAGAATTTGTAGGCTCCATGTGCCCTTTGGTTCCAGAGGTAGATAAAATTATTGGAGCAGAGTCATGATTTTGAATTATCAGATCCATGCCTTAGACATCTGTGACTGATCCAGTCATGGGTACGAAGAGCCTGAAACTTTCTCCTTATATTTTGGGTTTTCTTACTCAACTCTCTCTCTTCTTGAAAGCAGAGGAAGATGGTTTCTGTACACTGGTTTCTCTAGGCATTTAAGCACTTTCCTCATGAACCCCAAAAGAGCCCTTTTGTGTGCAATTCTGAGGTAATTTTCTGTCTGGATCATCATGCTTAAATCTTTCCCTCTTGACTCCTGTTGGCATTTATGGACCAACACCAGAGGCTAAGCAGTTACCAGCCATCCCTTCATTCCTGAGATTAGAAAAGTACTTTTCTGAAGTAATTACATAGGTGAGTGTTTAAATCGGAACGTGTAGTTGATTTTAACTTTGTTGCACTGTGCATGGTTTTTTGCCACCTGCTTAGTCATTTTTCAGCAGATCAATCCAATATCCTGTGGGGCTCTAAAATGCAAATGTTGGAGTTGTTGGTGGCAGCAGTCCTGTCACTCAGGATGGATGAAGGAAGGTACAGTTTAAGAATCAAAAATGACAATTCAGAAACACCAAAAAGCATGAAAATCATTTAAACCTCACCACCTGTGGACCCAATTCCCAGGCTCCTCTGTTCATTGAACCTTCCTTGTAACATGTACAAAGTCACAAAGACCTGATGATGTTTTGTGTGCCATAATTGCCTTAAGATTCAAGTTGTAGAGGTTTATTAATTTCCTGGTCTACATTTTTGCGTAGTTTTATTTATTTACAATTGATTATGTACAAAGAAATATGTCTTTGTACATGTGTACAAAGCTTAAATGCATAAGCTTAAATGCATTTTTTAGGATTAAGTTGGCGTTCAAGATTAATTTGCTACATCAGAAAAAAGAACTTCCAAAACAATTATAATTTTAAAGATGGAGTAAGGTTTCTGGTTTTCTCTGTGGTCTGCACAGGTCAGATTTTTCTCTGGAAACAGGCAAGCCAGGAATTATTTTTTGTGTCAAGTAAAGATTAATTTTCAAGTAATCCTGTGGCTCCAGAACTGAAACCTTTTGATGACATTATAATGGGACAAATGCTGAAATTTTCAAGGCACCAACACTGTATATCCAACAATCCCAAGCTTATTTTGCCTGTGGCAGTGTGACAGACCTGTACTAAGGTCCTATAGGAATCTGTTTTATGGGGTGCAAGCACCCAGAAATTGGTGGACATCCCCAGTAGGACAGAGTCAGTGCTGTGCTTCTGACCATCCCCAGCCTGTGTGTGCTGGGCTTTTCTGTCACCCCTTACAAGTGCTGTTATCCCTCAAGGATTTGTCTCACACCTATATAGATTCCTTGTTCCTAATACAATTATTATCCTCCTCTGTATAATTATTTTGGGCTCTGGTGCACCTCTGACATGTTGAATGTTTTTCATAGTCAGATGTGGACAGTCACCAAAGAGTGTGATCTGTGCTGTGTTGCTCAGCAAAATTTAAGTGTATAATTTGTATACAGAAGGAGCTTTGTTTTTTCAAAATCTGCCATTGTTTTTACTAAGGCAAAATATATTTGCCATGGAAAAGATTTTCAAAGTTATTAAGAAGGAATGTAGTTAAAATAAAAGTATCAACATTTATTAAGTATGACAAGTAAGCAGTTTATACAGCCGTGGCAAACATATGTTTTCACATCTGTTTTGAGTAATATCATCATGATTTTAAAAATGATTTATAGCTCTGCAGGCCATAAAATGCCAGCTTTGCTGTAAGTTGGAAGTTTTCAAACAAGAAAGAAATTATTGAAGGCCTATATTGAACATGGTTTTCCGTTCTACACCTTGATGTAACTTTACAAATCTGAGCACTCTATAATCATTAAGATACCAACAAATGAAAATTAACTAGAATCATTTAGCAGTAGTAGTTCTTATGTGAAATCTTAGCATAAAAATCAATAAAAGTTACTGTAATTATTATAGGTGTTTACTCTGAGAGCCCTCAGGATACACAATTTTTGTTTTCCTTGTCCCATTTTAAGTGATTTCAGCAGCAGACAAAAATGTGCTACTTTGTTCTCATCAAAGTAATTTCAAGGTAATTAGGACTGAAGAGAATATAGCTTAATATAATAGTTTTTCTTGAAAAGACAGTGAATGTGAGGTTGTTCCAGTTTTGTTGAGCTGCTTGCATATGTTGGTGGGGCAGAATTTACAGAAATAGTGGTTGTTTCAGCACAGAGGGGTTAGAGCCCATACAGACCATACCTTTAAGCTTTATGAAGGAGAAATGCCATTAAATCTTGATTACTCTGCATCCTTTCATCATCCTTTTAGAAAGCATGGTCAGGCTTAACATTAGAGGACAAAAAAGTCAAACCTCTATAGGTCTGCAGGTTTTTTTTTTAATACAAAGGACTTGATTATATTTTTGTCAAACATCTCTTACAGTTGTGGTGCACAAGCATTTTTCTTATGCATCCATATCAGGGAGGGAGTGCAAACTGCATGAAGACTAATCTGTATGTTAGAAACACCCCCCCAGAACATAACCCCTAATGTTTACAGAAACTTAAACACAAGTTCTCTCTGATTCTGCTCACTTGATATGTCTGGTTTTAAGCAGTCACATTTTACCTGCACAATTGCTCACAGAAACAAATTTTTAAATTCATCTGCTTCAGCATATATCCTGGAAAAAATCTGTTGTATGGGAAATGATTGTGTTTGACACAGCCCTGGATAGGCTTTATAGAAACCTCCATAGGAATTAGGAATTTTGGCATCAGAAAGGTTAAATGAGCCAGAAGAGAATTTGGCCATGCCTTCCAGTCGGATTGCAATGCTGGTACAATTATTCTGTTTGACTGGATGACAAGAAATATTTCAAACTCCTTGGGTAGGATGGAGTAATAAAAGGCTCTTGCCACAGAAATCAATGGGAATGGTCAGCATATCTTCAGTGGGAGCAGTTTGTCCAAAACTTGGCATTTTCAAGCTCACTTCTCCTGCTGATGCTGGTGGTTACTACTCCAGAGAGGGAATGGTGCACACTGGCTGCACAAGTTCTGTGCCTCCTGGAGCCCTGGTGACACCCAGGCACATGCCAGCACTGTCCCCTGCTCTGATTTTCACCAAAGGCAGCAGGACGTGAGGACCCCAGGACCCCCCAGGCTTGAGCAGGTGCTCACAGGGGAGTTTGGTGCACTGGAGCTGCACTCCACCCAGAGTGAACCTGAGTAGCATTTAATGGGAAAATTTCATAGATGGCCAGTATCTTCAGACTTAGCCTTGCCTCAAGCAGTCTTTGAGCAGAAATGAAGATTTTGTTGAGAATGTTATTTGCTTGAGTTCCCCAGAGCTGCTGGATACTGATGCTGCCCTCCCTTAGCTGTCTGCATCTTCAGAGTATAAGTCTGGGCTCAAGGACTGTGTCTCTACTTTCCAGTAGATGGTAGTCTCCAAACAATTGCATCTGCCAATTGTCCCTTTTTATTTTATTAAGGAACACCTTTCTCTTTGTTCAAGGAAATGAGCATTGTGCATCATTTCTGCCAGCTGAGTGAAATATTTTCAGATTGCCAGGGTCTATGGTAATTAAAGAATAGCTATTTATTGTATTTCATTAGTGGAAAAGAGGTTTTATGCTGTTTAAATTAATCATTGCCAAAGGATGGGGTGACTCATGATGGGAAGGGAAGAAGCAGGTGCAGAACACCTGAAACAGCAACAGGCCCTGGTGGTGGGGGTGTCCTCCAGACACAGGACTTCTCAACTATTAGTCTGAAAGCATCCAGATAGAAAGTACAAGGAGTAAGAAAGAGAACTATGAGTATGAATCTCGACAAGAAGAGATGTACACAAAGTGTATGAGAGGTGCCAACACTGCAAGTTGCTGGTTCTTTGACCTATTG